TATTTGTGTTTCCAAAAGACGGCAATAAATCGTACGTCATACGCCAAAGTTTGTGTCTTACTTACGTCTACAACTTAAGTCTAAGTAAATGTTACGACAATTCTTGTGCTCAGACCTTAACGCTATGTCTTACACCAGAAAGAAACCTGAGAGAGACGATGAAGGCGAAAACCATCGTACGATAGCAGCACCAACATCAATTATATGTTATCAATTATATATTAAAATGATGTGAACTACGTATCACATTTTCGATTCACACTATCAATAAAATCGTGGTGTCGATAAATGAATTTGTTATATACATAAATTATGAATAAAAATAATTTTAATTTACAAACAAATGTTTCTTTTAATTAGATAAGGTATTTCTTATAAATTTTTGGATGCTGAAAACGATAACAAGTTAAATTTCAGCACGTCAGGTTTTTGAAATAATTGATTTAATGTGTAAAAATGGCTTTTGTGATACTTAAAATGTTTTTGTGAAAAAAAGATTAATGTTATCTTGAAATTATAATCAAAAGTTATGAATGTATTGTTCATCCTCTACAAAATTTTTTTTTTTACTTCAATATCTTACTTTTTAATCACGTTATGAAAAATTCAAGTATAGAGTTCTAAGATAATACATTTTCCGCCTTTGACATGAAATATTATATAATTATATTTATAATTATATAATTATACTTATAATTGTGACTGGTGATACACATAATGTAATTTATTGTTATAGATTCTGCTAAATACATATGTATAGTAGGTTTCCATACTTTTCCTCACCTCGTATATATATATTAGAACACAATTTTAGATAGTATTAGTAGGATAATAAGGCCGGTTCTAATTCAAGAGCTCCGAAGGAGAAGGGGGGATGAGAGACAAGGGGATACCCGCGATGCAGGGAGAGGAAGGAATGATGTCACTGGGCGAGGGAGATCATAGGGGGAGGAGAGAAAGGATGACGTCACAGAGGGAGAGGGATGACGTCATAGTGCACAAGAATCTGCGGGGGAATAATGTCGCGATAGATGATGTTGCGGTGCAGAAAACGAGGATGTCCTGGGGAGATTATGTAGCGGGGATGTGCGGAAACTTGCGTCCGCGTTGCGGTGATGAGGTCAATGGTCGCCGGGTGCGATCCGCCGGTCTCCACCGCCGCCATCACCGAACGCAGTCCCCACCGCAGACTATACTTACCATGTATAGCATCTCTTATGTGTCGCCATCTTTTTCTTACGTAATCTTCCTTTCAGTTTATTCCATGCGATTATTTATGCAGAAATATTTTTTTATTCTATCAAAATATAACTATTATTATTATTTTAGAGAGCTCGATGGTATGATCACGTGATGGTGTCGCGCATAATGATATCGCGCGCGTAATACGATGCCGCAGATAGAAAGGAATGATAGAGAGAATAAATAATTTTGAAGACAGAGTTAATCTATATATGTATATTTATTCATTTATTTTAATCTAAATGTATACAATATATTTATTTATTAATTTATTTAAATCTATATATATTTTATCACATATTTTTTGAATGTTGAATTCGCCGCTGCTCTATCATAAAAGTGATGTCATTATCATTATCATCTTCGTTCCTCTTTTCAGCCGATTTCCAGTCTCGTCAATATCCCTCGGCGTATCCTCTCCATCAACACATCAAAAAATCGATTTAGTCTCATGATGACATCAGCGGTTAAGTCTGGAAAAGAAAAATATAATTTGAAATTAATATGCAGAATAACATTTTAGAATTGTTCTTATCATTTAACATAACATTAAAAGATTAGTATTATATATCAATTATATATCAATTTTTCTTTCTCTCACAATAAAAAGTAAAAGTAAATTCGAGGCTTTCGAAATTCGAGGCTTTATTGTAAAAAACTGGTTATACATTTATGATTCAAAGTATTGTCCATCGCTGGCCACTACTTTCTCCCACTTTCTCTTTCGGGTAGCATACGAATCCCGCATCGAAAAAACTGGTCATCTTTTGAGGCTATCCACGAATCGATCCAATTTTTTACTTCTTCATAAGACCGGAAGTGCTGGTCAGCCAGGCCGTGTGCCATTGATCGAAACAAGTGATAGTCAGAGGAAGCAACGTCTGGAGAATACGGCGGGTAGGGTAGGACTTTCCATTTCAAATTTTTCCGTTTCCAAGTATGTCTTGACCACTTTCGCAACATGGGGTCGAGCATTGTCATGCTGCAAAATCACTTTATCGTGTCTTTTGTTGTATTGCGGCCGTTTGTCTTTCAATGCTCGGCTAAAACGCATCAATTGCGTTCGATACCGATCGCCTGTGATTGTTTCAGTCGGTTTTAATAGTTCATAATACACTACGCCGAGCTGGTCCCACCAAATACAGAGCATGACCTTGGACAAAATCACCGTTCTTGAAGCGTTGAAATCACTCATGACATGTTCTTTCACTAATAGCGGCCTCACCATAAGTATTTGAGAGCATTCGATGAGCCTCAGCCGCAGATTTCTTCATATTGAAGCAAAAAATTTAAACCTCCCGCAAATGACGAGAATTTGGCTCGTAAACTGACATTTTCAATCGAGAATAATTTTATGATGCAGACACAAATCGACTAATGTTTTTATGGGATTATATTGACAGATGCCCAAGTTTATTGTATGACGTCTATGATCTATTTATTTCGACCATCACTTACCGCTAAAGCCATCTATAGGAAAACGGCGGAAGCAAAGTTGTACACCTAATATTTTTAACAAAATATCGTTCAATACAAATTTCGTTTAAGTTTATGACTTATTTGAAGATATTGGATGCGTATGAAGATTGTATATTTATATTATTATTTCCAAATACTGGAAGGTTCACACATAGCGTTTATATATTGCGATAACCTAGGGTTTAGAGACATTATTAATTTTTTAAAATACTACAAACCTTTTAATTTATATATCTTTTTATTTAGATATATTTTTATATTGTAAGTAAGTTCATAATCAAATTTGTTAACATTGAAAATAATCCGAATAAAGCGTTTGTTATAGACCATTATTTTTTATAATTTAACTATTTATATTATTAAAAAAAAAAATTTGTATTAGATTTGTAACTCTCTTTTATATTATTATTCATTTTTTAATTTTGTACAATAGAGTTTTGTGTTCAAGATTTATATATGATTTGGATTGAAGTAACAATTTTTAATGATTATAATGTAGTACTAATTATTGATATCAGATATTTTATATACCTGATGTACAATATATCGTTCAAATTAAGTAAAATTTTTATTTATGGGATTTTAATAGATACAAAAATATATATCACTTAGGTTTTATCATATATTTTAAATTAATAAAAATTTTTTTTGTAGAACGTATATCTACAGCGCTTTTTTACTTTTTTTTAAAAAAGTGTATACTAATATCTCATGCATTTTGTAGTATTTAAGATCTTCTTATATAAACAGTATATAAATTAATTTAGTACATAATAATTAATTTAGTACTTTTGTCCAAAGAACTAAAGAATGCACTCTTAACGCCTTTTTCTATCTTTTTTTAAAAAGATAAATTTTGTACTGATTTCCTAACCTTAATAGTTATCAACTTTAAGTTAATATTTCAGTTCGTGGGGCAGATCGACGCTTTTTTCTTGTGAAATCTTTTTCCCGTTTTCGGGAAAAAGATTTCACAAGATTGAGTTTATTTTTATCAAAATTTAAGATAACCGGCGTATTTTCAATTTTTACTATAAAAAGTATTCAAGCTTTATAAAACGTGTCCGTTTAATAATTTTAAAGTTCCAGTTTCTTATTCCAAAATCGGTTGTACCAACGTTACTTTGACTTTAAGCAAAACTTAAAACTCTCTCTATCTCCGTCTTTCTTTCGCTTTAAAACGAGACAGAGAGAGGTTTAAGCCTTGCTTAAAGTCAAAGTAACGTTAGTGCAACCAGACCTTAATCACTTAAATTTTAATAGACATGCGAATTTCCATAAGCGTTTACTATCTTTAGTAGTATTGTTGGATTTACACTGGATCCAACGTGCATCATACGATGCTCTGCAACCAATCAGAAAACAGAATTTTGCTTCATATCTACCTAACCAAGGGTTTAAACCAACCAACTACAATCGAGTATTTCCCTATCACAGTCGAACGACAGGGGAATGCTCGACTGTAATTGATTGGTTCATTCTGATCCGTTTTAAATGGTGGAAACTAGGCCATCGTTACGAAATAAAATTCTGCTTTCTAATTGATTGTAAAATGTCATACGATACACGTCGCTGATTTCAAGTACAGTTTTTAATTTATTGGGATAATTAATATCACTAATTATGCGTTGAAATGTCTAATCAAAATACGAAAGCATCTGACATAAACATATGATATTCGCCTTCGAACGACATCTGTTGAGAAATTCACACGAACTTTCCAGACAACCCAAGTGTGAATCCCGCATATCTCGTTGATATTCTAGACCACGTTTAAATGCACGAAATGAGCATGCTTCTGGATGCATTTATTGGATATCGGACATATTTACATTTAGATTGATATTTACATTTAGATTCATAGTCGGATCTTATATTTAAAACTGACCTGGAGGATTGTGGATTTTGATAGATGAAAATTACCAAAGTGAGGAAAGGTTACTAGGTATTGATCAATTAAATTATGAAATAATTGAATAAGTGAATCTAGTGAATTTGCTCACTTTTATAATTTTCACCTCATTTGAAGAAACACAATCGATCCCTCTTAAATATAGTCTTAAGTTGTCATGAACCAATCAGAGGGCCACATTAGCGACTTAAAACTATCTTAAAATAAGAATTAACTGATGAACACTGCCTATATTCCTTATATTGGCTGTGTTCGGAAACGTCACATCGGAGGCATCCGAGCGACGTTTCTAAATGATTTCCGAACGCAGCCATTATATTATCAAAGACTTTCTTTTGCGGTACGAAAAAGATAAATAAATGTGAGATTTTTATTCTGATTCAAGATAGAAATTAAAGGAAGAAAGTAAATATAAAATAAATGCAAATGAACAGTGCAACAAATACACGAAAAAGGAATGACAGATATGTCGCGAATCGTAAGGATTCTAAGAAACGTAAACAATTTGTGTTGGAACCCGGTATGACAGGATTTCTATGCACGTGCAACTTTCATGAGAGAGGCTGCATTACTGAGGCCTATAGATTGCTCAATTTGTTTGCAGATGAGAAATCGGAAATACATAAGGTACTTAATTATGTAAAGCAAAATATATTGAATATTTGTAAATATTTGCTGTTAATTATTATGAATATATTTTTATTTTTTCATTTTAAGAAATCTGAAACATCAACAAACGCACTCCATAAAAAGGAAACTGATAAATCTATAGAGGATATTGATGATGACATATCAATTGTTTTAGAGAAAGAAATCAATGAACTTAGAACTGAACATAAAATGTCATTGTCTTCTCGAAAATTTCAAGTACATTTGTCATATTGACTAACATTAATGAAGTTATTTTCTTTGAGATAACATTTACAATTATCATTATTTTCCATGTAGGTAGTAGATACAGGTGTTAAAAATATGATTTTTATAACAAGTACTTTATCAAATCCATTAGAATTGGTTATCAAAATTGTTTCTAAATTAGATACAACCAAAGAACAATGTACTAGATACTTATTAAGGTTACTTCCAATTGAGGTTGTTTGCAAAGCATATATGGATAATATAAAGACAAAAGCAAATGAATTATTTGAAAAATATTTTGTTCAAGAGCCTAAAACATTCAGCATTGTGTTTAAGTAAGTTAACTGGTTGTATTTTGTATTTATCAATCCTGGTAAATATAATGATATTTTATTTATAAAGTTAATAACATTTTAGTCGTCGCAGTAATAACAGCATTAAAAGAGACGAAATCATTGAAGATTTGGCAGAAATAATATTGAAAAAAAATCCAGGTAATAAAGCAGATTTGAAAAACCCAGACATAGCTGTGATTGTTGAAGTAATACGTGGGGTTTGTTTATTCTCTGTCGCTCCTCATTACTACAAATTCAAAAAATACAATCTTCTCGAAATATGCAACAATACAAAAAAATAAGGTAATATTTTTTATAATAGTTGCGTAATTTTTATATATGCATGAAGATTTACTTTATAAAAATTGTTGTTTACTATTATCTTATATGTTATATAATAATAAATTGTATTTTCAAAATAATATATAAAGTACAAAATTTTTTTAGATAATCTCTAAGGAAGAAAATTTAGCAAATGAAGAAAATATTAATATAATTATGTTAAATTGAAAAAAACGAGTAAAATGTATTGATAATAATAAAAAGAACAATTCGGTAAAATATAAAACTCGAAAAAAAGAAAACAAATCAACTAAACTCACTGACAAATTTGTAAATGTACATAACAATACTACATTTTACATTTTGTAAAGACGATATATAGATAAATAAATGTCACATGTATATGATGTGAAATAGTTCTTATATATTTTTATTAATACACTTCTCTTAAAATTGTTATTAATAATTTTAATTTAAATTAATAATTTTATAAAATATCTCTTACTGTATATAAAAACTTATTATTTGAATTATACACAATAATTAATTTTCTTTCTACTAACTGATTCATCTCATTATTCTGTTCATAAAAGTATTAAGATAATTATCAAAAAATTAATAATTTATAAGTTATTTAATAATTTTATGTCAATATGTGCCAGAATAAAATATCTCGTAACCTATTGGTTTTTCGATATCATTACAATATTTTTATATGTAGAATAATTAGAGCAATCAAGTTATGTACAAAAATTCATATAATTCTATTTAAAAAAACAAAATGACCTTCAAATTTCCTAAGCGCCTCCACTTGGGAAAAAATGTTTATGTTCTAGCATTACGTTTCAAAGTTCTATAGTATTAAGACCCATTTGATATCGCTGAATTTTATAATAATTTGTAGTACTCAATTTTTTCAATTTTTTGGATGATCTAATATTAATCAGCAGTTGTAAAAGGAACGTGCGTGCGTGCGTGAGAAACATGTAACATCCATCTTATATTGATTTCACTGTATCAACCTGTTGTAAATTTGAGAAGTTCACGATAGATATCATAAGATAATAGACTTCATACGATTATTATGTGACTTCTGGAATCGATTAACATCATGTTCCGATGTGAAGCTGCTTAAATCCAGATCGTATCTTGCCATTATTCTTCTTACCAACATGCGAGTACAACATGCGCTTGTTATATTTTAATTTTTGAACATCTTACATAGATACCGGTAACATTTTAAAATTTATTTTTTTAACATTGAAAATGATCCGCCAGAGTTCGAAACGTCTGTACAAATTTTCAGATTGTTTATAATAATATTATAATAATATTATAATAATATAAATTGTTACTCACATAATATCCAGAGTGATTCTTAGCCCTATTTTACATTGTTTAATTTATTTAAAAAATGTTTATCATCACATGAAGCTCCTCTCGATACTAACAACTTTATTTCAAGTATTTCTTCTTATCTCCAAAACCTGTGGGTGTTATTCGGATGGCCTGGTCTTAAGTGAAATACCCTGTATATATTAAAGAAAGTAATATCGAGCAAAAACTTTCGACCAAGGTCTCATGGTGTAATGGTTAGCACTCTGGACTCTGAATCCAGCGATCCGAGTTCAAATCTCGGTGGGACCTACTCTTTTTATAACTATATAATTTTCAATTTTTTGTGAATCTTGATAAGACATAGAATGTCATATTTAATATTATATTACCATTATGATATATTTTGTAATTCAATTAAAAAAATATATACCATTATTAAAAAATAAAAGAAAGAAAGTAATTCCTTTAATGTTGTTAGTTGTTAACACTGTTCTAAAATTGAGTACTTCAAGTAAATAATGGGATTCTCTAAGACCCAGTTCCACAACTGACGGTTAATTTTTAGGGCTTTTATCAAACTCTAGTTAGCTTAACCAGTCTAGTAACTTTACAGGATTCTGAAGATCAATTGAAGCTGATGAGAAAAAATACGAACTGAAGAGTTAATACATTTATATTTATAATTTCTCTTTTTGCATTTTCTCTCTGATATCTGTTTCAGTTGGAATCTTGCAAAATTACTAGACTGGTTAAGCTAATTGGAGCTTGATAAGGCCCAGTTCTACGACTCATGGTTAATTCTTAACTGAGGTTTAATTTGTTTCTCATTTCTTTTCAATTCTAGAATTAGAAAGAGACAATGTCTGAGAATAAGTTGAACCTCGATTAAGAATTAACCGTGCGTTGTGAAACTGGGCCTAAACGTCTTATCGATAATTATCTCTATGACCTAGTTACAACTCACAGACTCGTGAAATAATTATAAAAAGAAAATAAGAGCAAGTTCGTGAGCTGCAACTCGGGAAAAAATTTTACATGTATGGACAGATGTTATTTTGACGGCCGTCGCCGTTTGAAACTTTAGTTACGGGATTATCAACATCTAGGAAAAAGAATAAGCTAAACTAACTCGGTTCGAAATACATCCTAATTTATATTTATAGTCTTTCTTTATTTTAAGAATGGAGAAAGTCTCCATGAAGAATTCCTCGATTCTCTAAAATCTTCTTGTTTCATAAATGGATCTGCCTTTCCAAAAGAAGTAATATTTTAGGAATTTTAGTAATCTACTGAAGGCAGCATGTCATAATATATAATATATGCAAATCTAATATCGTGAATTACGAATAATAAAGGTTATAAAGGCATTGTTGATTAAATAAAGTCGTAATTAAACATTTTGCAACAATAATGGACAAAAATAAAACTAATAGCAAATTTGATTGGATGCACTCACTGCACTGATGTACAATATCATCGTACATAATAACGTAAAGATATTCAATAATAAACATAGAAATCGATTAAATTGTGAAATACTCAATATATTTTACTGTACTGTTAGGTAAAATATGTAATTCGAAATATTTGCATTTTATTTTTATACTCAAATTAAATCAATATACAACGGCTTTAATATGCATCAGTGCTTCCAATCGAATTTGTCATAATATAATATTTATTATATGAAGAAGGAAAATATGCTTTTGGCACAGTTTACTTCCGACAAAAAGCTAATTATCAACAATAATTATCGATGCGATAGATCTAAATTAAAAGCGATCAAAACAGACGATGTGACGAACTAAATTTAAAAATTTGCTTGATTATGAAAGTTGCATCTCCTCCTCGAGGAAGGAAACTCGTAATTTTCCTCGAGAAAAGGAAGCTAATAAACCTCCTTGTTTGGTCAAGGAAGGTTTATGAAACTTTAACGTGAAATGAAAAATTAGGAATCCTCATTCCTCAAAGAAGGACTATGAATACGAGTATAAATCACTGGTGAGAGTCGGATCATGATGGAATGGATTATATTAGGTGTACAACTTTGCCGCCGTTTTTTTCCGAAATTCGAGGCTTTATTGTAAAAAACTGGTTATACATTTATGATTCAAAGTATTGTCCATCGCTGGCCACTACTTTCTCCCATCTTTCGGGTAGCGTATGAATCCCGCGTCGAAAAAACTGGTCATCTTTTGAGGCTATCCACGAATCGATCCAATTTTTTACTTCTTCATAAGACCAGAAGTGCTGGTCAGCCAGGCCATGTGCCATTGATCGAAACAAGTGATAGTCAGAGGGAGCAACGTCTGGAGAATACGGCGGGTGGGGTAGGACTTCCCATTTCAACGTTTCCAAGTATGTCTTGACCTCTTTCGCAACATGGGGTCGAGCATTGTCATCATGCTGCAAAATCACTTTATCATGTCTCTCGTTGTATTGCGGCCGTTTGTCTTTCAATGCTCGGCTCAAACGCATCAATTGCGTTCGATACCGATCGCCTGTGATTGTTTCAGTCGATTTTAACAGTTCATAATACCCTACCCCGAGCTGGTCCCACCAAATACAGAGCATGACCTTGGAGCCGTGAATATTCGGTTTGGCCGTCGACGTGGAAGCATGGCCGGGAACTCCCCATGATTTTCTGCGCTTGGTATTATCGTAATGAATCCATTTTTCGTCCCCAGTCACAATGCAGAAATTCCTTCCTTTGCCTTTCAAGCAGTTCATAAGCAAACAAACGCCGTTCAACATCTCTCGGCTTCAATTCGTACGGCACCCAATTTCCTTGTTTTGAATTATTCCCATGGCTTTGAGGCATTTTGAAATGGCTTGTTGAGTCACTCCCAATGATCGTGCCAATTCTTCTTGATTTTGACACGAGTCTTGCAAGTAATGCCTCCAATTCTGCATCTTCGAAAACCTCTCTTCCGCTCTGCCGGTCTTCGACGTCAAAATCACCGTTCTTGAAACCACTCACGACACGTTCTTTCACTAATAGCGGCCTCACCATAAGTATTTGAGAGCATTTGATGAGCCTCAGCCGCAGATTTTTTTCATATTGAAGCAAAAAATTAAAATCTCCCGAAAATGATGAGAATTTGGCTCGTAAACGGACATTTTCAATCGAGAATAACTTTATGCAGACACAAATCGACTAATGTTTCTATGGGGTTATGTTGACAGATGCCCAAGTTTATTGTATGATGTCTATGATCTATTTATTTCGACCACCACTTATCACTAAAGTCATCTATAGGAAAACGGCGGAAGCAAAGTTGTACACCTAATATGTGTGTGCAGTTGGACAGAATCTCTTTCTAATAGCGTTTTTCATTGGGAGAATTGATGCGCATTGAGTGTGCATTAAGCGCGAACTGTGTGTTTCATTAGGAATTTCGTAATGAGGACCGAAAATCGTGTGCGCTGTTTCATTGGTAAATCTAGTGCCGAGTTTTCGCACTTTCGTGCAAAAATCTACTACGAACGGTATCGATTGCACGCAAAATATGGCAGGAATTGATATGATTGTGATTCCAAATTTATTGCCAATAATAATACTGAAAATGCTATAGTTTACGTTACGTGCACTATAGATTTTCAGTACTGGCAATTAATTTTGGAACACATTCATAAATGAGAATGATGCAATACTCTTCTTTCGTTGTCATCAAGTAGTGATGATGATTTTTTATTTGTAAACGAAAAACGTAATATTCCAAAAATAAAAAACTTAATAAAATTGAAGATTGCAGGATTTCCAAAAGTTCTTGGCTACATTGATGGGACTTTTATTAAAATACCAACGCCAGTCCACAAAATAAAATCAACATATGTAAATGGTAGAGAGGCTCACAGGGAGAGAATGGCAAATTGTATCACGTGAATGCCCACGTCCAATCAGAACGAGGAATCATCGAGCATTGTCATGCTGCAAAATCACTTTATCGTGTCTCTCGTTGTATTGCGGCCGTTTGTCTTTCAATGCTCGACTCAAACGCATCAATTGCGTTCGATACCGATCGCCTGTGATTGTTTCAGTCGGTTTTAACAGTTCATAATACACTACGCCGAGCTGGTCCCACCAAATAAAAGAGCATGACCTTGGAGCCGTGAATCGGTAAAGAAGCTTTACGTGCGGAAATTAATGTAAGAGAAGATGTCAAAAATAATAAATCGTTAAAGGAAGTGGTCAAAAGTCGGCTCGCGGAATCACGGGGTAATCTGAAGAGAAAAGCCAAAGAAAAAATAAATTCTCTGATAAAGGGATCGGAATATAAAATATCCGCGAAATCCGCGGCGCTTCAGTTTCCACCCGATAGTCGAGATAGACGTATCATGCATCGTAAACGACGCCGAACGATCAAAAGAAAATCATCGAGAAGTACTACAGGGAAGAAGAGCAAAAAAGTAACGAAGAAGAAAAAGAAAATTCGTGCTACAGGAAGAAAGACGAAAAAAATCATCCGGTAGGAAACATCGAGTTAAGAAAGGCAATGTATCCGATTCATATTCTCATATATATTCATACATATTCTCTTAATTGAGATAAGAAATCGTGGCTGAAGAAAAAGCATATCTTTTCTTCATACCCACTCTAGCGAGTATATAAAGAGCGAACTCGATCTCTTCTCTCTGCCTCCTACGCAAACCAGCATTGAGAGTTCGTAATAGATTTATTACAAACTCGTAACTTCGCTCGCGGACGATTCGCCCATAGAATTCGTCATACTCGGGGAGAAGACTATCTAAACTTCACTTACACCATGTTGAGCCTTCGCATACGCGTAGAAAGCGAAGAATGCAGGGAGAGCATATCGGTCGCACGGCCCGACGGCAAGGCAAAAATACCCGTAAATCATTTACTGCATTCAATCAAATCGACGTATATTTCAATCAAAAGCTCGTATCGCTATCAAACAACGTTTATGCGTACCACGCGTACATCGAGGCGTTATGCTTTATCCGCAAAAATCTCCCATCTGACTTCTTGCTTATGGGATGCGGATATCTCTGGTTACATGGACGACACATTAGACTCGTCAAATCTAAATACAGCGCTCGAGAAACGCGCGCAATTCATTCAAGGAAATCGCGCTCTAGATCACATTGGTCACCTTCACTGCGACGTTTTCAATAAAGATAAATTTTTAATTAACGGAGTGGAAGTTAGAATGAGATTCGTACGTTCGAAAGATTCATTTCGTCTTATGGAGAATAAAACGATATCGAAAATACGCATTCTTGACACTAATGTATTTGTAAGAAGAACACAAATAAGCCCGAGTGTGTTACTTGCATACGCTAGAATGTTGAGTAATACCGTCAAGTATTCTCTTACGAGAGTCGAAGTTAAAACATTCATGATACATGCAGGCGTCGTGGGGGAATCGATAAACAATGCAATATTCGGACTGCTGCCAAAACGAATAATAATCGACAACAAGGCGTTTAATGGTGATAGAAAATTGAATCCGTTTAATTTCAAAAATTTCAATTACGGTATAAATTTCTTCTCGCTGTATGTCGATGGCATGCAAATTCCCAATAGATACAATCAAATTTTTAGAAAGACGAGCCGCTCTACTGAAGCTTATTACACATTATTCTCGGTAACTGGTATTCACTTTCTGAACGAGGGTAATTCTATAAGTAGAGATGATTACGCCAATGGCTACACTTTTTTCGCTTTCGATCTTATTCCAGATCTATCCGCTAATTGCGCAGGACATTGGAATCTCGTAAAACATGGAAACTTATGATTAGAAGTGAAATTCGAAAAATCTCTTTTCGTGACTATTAATTGTATCGGCTATGCCGAATTTGATAACGTTTTAGAAATTCGACTCCGTCAAGTCATTGTCGACTTTTCCCTATGGCTTCCGCGAGAAAATTATTTTCCCCCTCCACTATATATTTTTTTCTCATCTAATTGGACAGGGGAGATGATGAAAAAAACTTCAGTCTTGTCTTTGCGATACCGACGCCAACATTTCGTGACATAAAAAAAGTAGCGCAAATTCGAATATAATAATGGATACAGTCATCGACATACAAGGTTTTCGCGATATCGAAGAAAACTTTATTCCGAAAGAAGTCACATTCTAGCGATTAATGCGACGATCACCGGACACTGGATTATGATGTCTCTGCCCATTTGACGATTTACCTGAGAAAATAAGACGAGAAAACAACTGGCTTATACGAAATTATCACGAAATCGAATGATTCGATGGAGACGTCAATCCAAAAAAAACTTTACGATACATCTGCATGACATTACACGTCACACACGCTATATCTATATCAAAGGACGAGAGACTATCTGAGTAATTTATTCTCTAGAAATGGATATAATCTGGAGGGAATTTCTTCATCTTTCAAAAATCTACTACATTTCGAAGATCGTGGACAACGCTGTACGCATCACAGATTTCGAACCAGCGTCGAATCACATTGCGCCTTACGCAACGCTTACAAATTGAAACGCTGGCTAACTATACGAAATAGCAGCAATTCAAGTTACGATAGTCTTCCTTCAAAAAATTGGAGCGAGAGCGACGTCGAGAGCGAAAAGACAGATAGTGGGAATTTTTCAATTCAATTAAAAAATCAGAAACACAATCATTCGCAACAAGCGAATGAGCGTGGAGAAAAAATATATCGACAAAAAAGACGAATCAGAATGAGAACAAACAAGCGACAGACGAGGAGAAACAAGATCTTCCAAAATTCGACTCACCGACTGGTGAGAGAGATAAAGCTAACATTAGTGTCTCATAATCATCGAGCATTTTTGAGAGCACCTGCTGGCAAAGAGGTACATTTTGAATTTACGCAATTTTGAATTTCCTCTCTCACACTTTCCGATGACGAGAAATGAATTCGCTGGAAGTTTTAAACACATCATCTCAGTGTCCGACATGCGGAGGCCTATCCTGCCGATCGACTGCCGAGGGTGTGGACGAGATCGACTGCCATTGTCGCTAACACGGACGATCACAATCGACCTGGTGAACACTGAATTGTTTTCTACATCGATGAACATGGAACAGGGATGTATTTCGATAGCTATGCTTGTCGCCTTTAGATCCAAGATTCCTCTTACGACTTCGACGAAACTCCACTATCGTATCGCTGGAATACAACAACGCTACAAGGAATACTTTCTCAAACTTGACAATACTGCTATGTACATTTTATATATAATGGCTACAATCTTAGCCAGTTTCTTAATCTCTGTTTACCTCTGATTGTAAGCGAAATGACCGATTAATCGTACAGTTATTTCATAAAATTTTTCTTCATTGTAAACATAAATTCGTAAATTCTCGTGTTGTATGCCATCATATTCAAACGTGTACTCTTTCAAAAAAATAAAATAACTACTTCATGTAATATCCCTTTTAAATAAACGTTTTGAACTTGTAAATATCGTCTATTTTTTACTCCTACCCTTCTCATTCTCATTTACAATAGATACATTTTCTCCCGTATTACAGACTCAGATAATGTACATTAAATACATAAAATATAGAAAGAATTTTTTTAAAGTAATGCTCGAAGACGTTGCGCCAGTTGAACATGTTCGTTCCTGTTTTACCTGTCCCCATTTTTCCTAGCAAAAGCAAGACTCTCTCTAGACTTCCAAATTTTCATATAAGATTCTCATCTGTCATAAATAAAAACATTCATAAATGCCAACACGTCGTAGACATTGTGCTGCGCCAAAAATGACTGTCATTAAATCACCTGCTATTCATGCCCAGTGTTTGTATTCCGTTCTCACGACAAAAAATGCTACAGACTCATTCACCTCATTTTTTCGGACTTTATCCTCCATTTTGTCAAAGGTCTTCTAGCACTTCTCTTCTCCAATTCTCCACCTCGCGGATAGGTGCGAGCCAATTAGATCTTTGGGCAAGTATAGGGCGAACTAATCAGAACACACCATTTAATTACCCTATTACCCCCACCCCTTACTCCTCGACCATTCAGAGCACGCCCTTTTCCTGATTGATTCGTCTAGGCCACGCCCATGGCGTCAGAGGGAAACAAGGAAAGGGGTTTGTTTTGACGCTACCCACATATTACTCGCGTAGTCAATTCTCAGAGATATGATAACAGAGCCCGTTGTAATTGTTCAAATTCACATTAAGGCTATAATAGATTTGCCGATTGTGGCAAAGGAAAATCAATCGATCTCAGAAGGATTTTTGACGACGCCACGAAACATTTGCGCGCACTTCAAGCATTAAAGCGTCCCACGATGCATTGGAATGATCTTCTCGTTCTTATTCTATCTTCTAAACTTGAGTCACTCACGTTACACGAATGGCAAATTTCTTTAACAAACAACGTTCGTTAAAAAAAAAAGCTTCGTGTATGGCCACTGTTAAACCTAAATGGCATTTCTGTCAAGGTGATCACGTCATTTATTACTGCAAAAACTTCGTGGCACTCCTGATATCGCAAAGAGCCGCGGAAATTCATAGTCGCAAACTTTGTGTCAATTGTTTGCACTCTTCTTCTCATGCATCAAGTAAATGTACTTTCGATTAATGCCTAAGTCTGCCAGGCGAAGCATAATACGCTACTTCATTTTATGAAGTAGCGTATTATGCTTCGCCTGGCCTCCCTCAAGAGCGGAGCCATGAACTAATAATACCGATAAGGAAATTGCGTCTAAGGCAATTCCTCTCTCCTAGCGACTCATGCTTCAGAATCCTTCAACAGCGAACGAGACATACTTTCGACTGCGGTTGTACTCGTTTGCGACAGCAATGGTTTGCGCAGAGCGTGCCGAGCTTTGTTGGATTGCGAATCGAACTTCGTATCCAAGAAATTTGTGGAAGCTCTCGTTTAAATTGAATGTTTCGATTTCCGGCGATCAACGGCACAGTAATCACGTCCAATCACGTGACTAGGATCAAATTACAATCGCGACTCATACACCGCGGCTATCGAATGCATCGTGACTGATCAGATTACTGATAAAATTCCGGCGATTTTTTTGAGGCAGAACAAATTTGATTTTCCGCGCAACATTCGTTTCGCCGACCCGATTTCACATATCATCGGATATTGATCTTATAATTGGAGCAGAGTTGTTTTGGAATTTAATATGAGTTGGTCAAGTCAAGTCTTCAGACAAACACACAACTCTGCGGAAAACACTGGGCTGGATTTTGGCGGGTCATTTGGACAGCACTATATCGATCATCTCAAAGATTCATTCGTTTCACGCGTCCGTAACCAATGCGGAATTACACGAACATGTCAGTCGTATCTAACAAATGGACGATATTTTCGCATATTTTTATACAATAAAAGAAAATATTTACAATCATCATTTTTTAGACATGTCTCAAAATTCTCAAGATAGATATATAATTAAGCTTCCGGTCAGAGAGCAAATGTTAAATAACATTGACGATTCGCGTGGTGAGACGGCTCTCAAGCGATTGAGGGCATCGAGAAGCGTTTCAAGGGTGATCCTATGATTAAAATTCAATATGCGGCGTTTCTTGACGAATATTCGCTGGGATATATGCGACGGCTAGAGCCGCCCATTGCGAAAGAACCAATATCGTTTTACCTTCCCTATCATTACGTTTTCAAAATGGTCAAACAAACATCGAAAATCCGTATTGTATTTGATGCATTTTGCCGCAGCAGTTCCGGCATATCGTTAAACGATGCACTCCTAGTGACCGACTGTTCAACAAGATTTGATCTCAATTTTGATGTCCTTCCGTTTTTTCATTTATATCATCACTGCTAACATCATAAAAATGTATCGGCAGATTTTAGTGCGTCCATTCCAGACACGCAGAGAATTCTCTGGCGCGACAATCTCTCTGCTAATGTCGATACGAATTCACTACCGTTACTTACAGTTTCTGCGTCATTTCTGGCCACCAGATACCTTAAGTATTTGACTGAGCAGCATGCTCGTTCATTCAACATGCGTTCTTCGGGATTTTTATGTCGATGACATGCTCACCAGGGCGGACATAGTCGACAAATTAAAACAAATTCATGATGAAAACATTCAACTGTTAAAATTAGGAGCATTCGAATTAAGCAAATGGGTCTCGAATTGCCCTGAATTATTGGAAATAGATAATCGTAACCGTGTGCCAGTCATTAGAGATAATGTGGCGGACTCATGTATTCTAGGCATGCAGTGAGATCAATATCAGGATACGTTCCAATTTCTATGAAAATTTGAGTCAGAAACCCATGTTGTATCAAAACAGGTCATACTTTCCAAGGTCGCTAAATTGTTCGATCCTCTGGGCCTTCTGAGACCAGTCATTGTTATCGCAAAATTCATCTTGCAAGATTTGTGGCAATTGGTCATCCAATGGGACGAGTCCGTTCCTCAGGACATCATTCATGGATCGCCTTCAGAACACAGATGAGTGTTTTGAATTAACTAAGAATTCCTCGATGCGTCAAATTCATTGCCCATCAACTAATCGTGGAAGTGCACGGATTTTGCGACGCCAGCCAGTGCGCGTTCAGTATTTGCATATACCTTCACACTAAACTCTGTCTCAATGACCATCACGCCGAGTTACTAAGATCAAAGTCTCGCGTTGCGCCGCCCAAGACTATTTCGTTACCGCGATTAGAGTTATCGGTTGCCTTATTAGCGCGCTTATCAACAAAGTTAGAGAATCCTTGAAACTCTCAATGCCTGACTTATCTTTGGTCAGACTCAACGATCGCATTAAACTGGATAACCTCTGCTTCA